GGGCCCGCCGGGGTGTGGCCACAGGACGCCCGCGGCTTGTTGTTCTCGGCAGTGAGGAGGCCGCCGCAGTGAAGAATCTGAAATGAGGAAGGAGACGCCATCTTAGAAGCCGCGGCCTGGCACTGGCAAACAGCTAAGGGCTCCCAAACGCAGCGAGGAAGGAACCGAACGTTCCCGTTCTCCGCAATCAAAAATACAGAATTGATAAGAGTATTAAAATCCTCCCTTTCCTTCCCCAAGCCAAACAATCGAAAGACAAAGGCAAAACTCTCCCCAGAGTCTACCATCTGTGAACTCTTAAAGGCTTTTCACCAACAAGGCAACCAAACAGAATACGTTCCAAACACTTGCACCCCAAGCACCTCTCCAATCCCTCCCACTCATACCTTCAGGTACCAATTCAAATATCTGTGCCTGCTCGACAAAACCTCGGCAACCCTTAACTGGGAGCAAAATCTCCAAAGGCACCCATATACCCTTTAAAATGAAACCCACCTCCTCCCCAAACTTCATTCCGGTGTCTGGCTCAGAGCGGAAAAAACAAGTCCCGCGAGGGGCGAATCAGGGTGAACGTCCTCCCCCTCCTGGCGAGCTCAGACCTTTCCCCACGCTCCCCGCCCTCCCCCCACCCCGAAGGCAGGCCCACACCCTCTAAGGGTCCTGGCGTCGCGGGGGCGGAAGGGCCCCCCCCATCCCCCCCACCAGGGTTCGGAGTCCTCCCCACGGAGCGGCTGGTCCATCGGTCAGCGCCAGGGAGGAGGGCGAACGGAGGCGGCGGCGGCTGCGGCTCAGACTAGCCCTCCCCCTCCTCTCCCCTCCCCCCTCCCCCCGGGCCGTCCGCCTCCGAGGAGGGGCAGGAGCCATTTTGGGAACTCAATTTCGCCCCCTTCCCCCAACCCACTCAACTTACATCTTTCCCACAATCTAGTACAGTAATCTGAATAGGGTTACAGACTAAGTGTGAGTAGAGCCAAAGCACAAGGTCAAGATCTCTAAAGCCACCTCTGGGGCTCCCCTGCACCCTTACCGGAGAGTGAAAGAATTTCCCCCACCTGGGCTTTAGTGGGGGGCCTTCCCCTCCTCCACGTCCCCTCTTCTGGCTACCAAGGAAGAAAACAGACTATGCATATCTGAATAAGGAAATTAATGTAAGTTAAGGAATATAAGAGCCCCCTCCCCCCCAAACCCAGGGCTTCGTGAGGGCCTAGGTCCTTGAACTCCAACTAGGTCACCCTCCCTCGGTAGCGGCCCTGGAACCCTAATCTCGCTTACTGTGTCTAAAATGGCCATCAATTCTCGACCACCCGAGTCCGGCAAACCCTGCGGGGGAGGGGTAATGCGCACCGGGAAAGCAGTCTCTCCCCCCCCCCCCCCCCCCCCCCCACACCCCCG